ATTTAGTCGGAAGTCAAATTTAAATGCACACATGAGAGTTCACACAGAAGACAAACCGTTTCCTTGTGATCTTTGTGGGCAAAGATTTAGTCAGAAGACACATTTAAACAGACACATTAGAGTACACACAGGATACAAACTGCTTCCTTGTGATCTTTTGGGCAAAGATTTAGTCAAAATACAGCTTTAAACTGACACATGAGAGTCCACACAGGATACAAACCATTTCCTTGTGATCTTTGTGGACAAAGATTTAGTCAAAAGACAAATTGAAACAGAGACATGAGTCCACACAGGAGTGAAAACTTTCTCACTGTAAATATTAAAATAACTATGATAGGCCATGAGATGCAACTGGTATCACCCAATTTTAATTTGTTTTGATGTTATAAAATATATTTTGTGACAATTTTTAACAAATTCTCAAACTATGATTTGTTGCTAGTTTCTTAGGAATAATTTTTAAAATAAACTAATTAAACCTTCGATCATAATTTAGACTATAGATGTTGGTTCTAAAATACTGGTGCAGTGGCTGTGAAATAAGTAGAGAGAACCAGATAACTAATCAAATTACTTTGAGTTTCAAATGGTCAGACCCCTTGAAATATTTTATGTGCAATTCCTGAGGGAGTTGTGACTTAAGAAATTAGTTAATTAACAGGTCTCTCATGCAAATGAACTAATTGTGTTTTAATGAGACTAACCTGTATAATTTTTATTTTTAATTATTACTTCAATGTCATTCCTGTAAGCTGAATAGTGTTTACATCATGTCATAATGACGAAATATGGATGAAATTATGTCAGAATTGCCAAGGTTAAATTCCAACTTTCCTGTAGTATTAGGCTACTTTTAGACATGACGTTAAAATTACCTGACACCATCCTGCATCTAACTGAAGTGGAGTTTGCTTGCCGCCAGTGAGTTGCCACAAACTCAAAAACCCAGTACAGGATTTGTCTCATGACCTATTAAAGACCCACAAGAGGTCACACAGAACTAAAGATTCAACATGTCTGCTGGCTTCATAGATGGAGAACTTTACTAATTCTGATGCATGCACAATAATCCAAGTAGAAAAATCTAAAAAAGGTTGTCTGGTCCTATGGACATTCAAAAATCAAAACAAAAATTATAGAAACGTTTCATCTTTCATCCGAAAGACTTCTTCATTCTGAGGTGCTGTATTCAGCTCAGTCTTATAAATAGCACCTTCTCATAGTGGATCAACCAGTTTGTTGCTGGCAGCCAAAACCAACTGCTCACATGATCAAGGAGGACCATCAGCCTAACGATGGATCGTTAGCACCCAGATGGCTGTTTGTTATTCACAGAGGGCTGAGTGATACTAGTAGGGATGGGGCTTATCCGATCCAGTATCTGTATCGGGCTCCGATACCAGCATAATTTATGTATCGGATTTTCCGATCCAACCTGCCGATATTTCCTTCTTTTTTTTTTGTGATGGCCTCCCTTCTCCCCTTACAGCCATCCTCTCCACACCATTATTATGAAATATTTATTATAGTGACTATCTAGTGTAGGTTTTTTTTTTTTTTTTTTTTAATAGGATAGAAAGAAAGAAAAGACAAAGTAAGACTCCAAAATATAAGAAATATATACAAATAGAGCACACGTCAAAACACCCGGCCACTGTCTGTTCACCTGCAAAGAACATGACAAAACACAGCAACAAAATACATATGTATAAAGAACTTAAAATATTCATGGCTTTGCAGTAAGTTTCCATAAATATATATACCCATACCTACGCCTATATACATACATACATACATACACATGAATATACACTCACATACATATCTATATATCTACATATAAAGCCTACATAAGCATCCCTGCTTCTATTTATGTGTGGTTGTGAGCATGCATAAGTGTATAAGGCTTCTCTAATAGAACATTTATTAGTAACTGTGAAGCAGCAGAGACCCGACCCCCAAGACCAGAGGCAGACGAAAAAGGGGGGACCAGAGCCCAAGACCCCAGGAGGGACCCCGACCGCGGAGCCCCCAGAGCCACCCACACAGGACGAACCACTCACCCACCCTCCAGAACGGACCACAGGGGAGAACCGGAAGATCCCCACCAGCAACCACATACAGTGACCCCCCGGGGCCAACAGCGACAAACTCATAGGCCTCCGTCGGCACCCGCCGCACCGATGTAGGTCCAGGTCCAGGCACCGAGGCCCGGGCACCGAGGACTCACACCACCCAGGCCAAGGCCTGACAGGGCCAGAGGACCCGAGCCCCACCAGGCAGACACCAGGCCGAGCCGACACACGCCCAAGCGCCCAGCCCCCGATACCAAGGGCCCCAAGCGCGCCGGCAGGCAAGGGCACACCCCACCAGGGGGCCGCGCGATAGGGGCGCGATGCCAAGCACCCCCAGTTGTATCAAAGAGGGGGCAGTCCGAGTCTCGGCCTAACAAATACCCATTCATACACAGACACAATCACACTATCCCAACCTCAATCTCACATTCATTCACTCAAAGACATACAATAACGATACATTTCATTCTTATTCCCGATACACACTCTATACCCCCCAGGTCCAAGACATGTACCCGCCCTCTACAGGGGGCAGCCCATGCCCAAACCCAGGAGGTAAACCCATTCATTCTTGAGCGGAGAAGAGCCAATACCCCAGACCCGGCCCAGGCCATGCCCCGCCGACAGGACACCCCCCCACCATGAAGAGGACACGCCACCGACCACCCCCACACACCGCCAACAACCAAGCACGCACCCCCAGCCAACCGCCCGCCAGGCCCCGGCAGCCACCCCGGCCAGCGGGCCAACCATGGCACCCAAGAGCCAAGCTCAGGGGGTCCAAACAACCCCAGGGAGAGCACAGCGCCAGCACCGCCCATGGCAACCCCCAGACCCTGAACCCCCACATAGTCCTGGTCAACACCCGACAGCCTGCCCTTCTCCCGGACCCCACCCCCGGAATGGCAGTCAGGGAACTAGGTGGGTAGGAAGAGGAGAAAAAAAATAAAAAAATAAATAAAAATAAGACCCCGACACATACACCCCCACCCCTAGATGTGCTGTTGATGTGTGTTGTTGTATAGTGCCATTAAAAAGGAAAGAAGAAGGAGCAAAGGCTGGCATGGTGCCAGTTTCCCCTCCACCCCAACTCTATCCAAACCCTAGTGTCTAAATGCAACCTTTGTAAGTGAGCACAGGCACAGGGGGTGAGAGTAAGGTCATCCCACCACCCATAGCCATGTGCCCACCTCAAGTCCCTATATATGAATGTCATGAGGATGTTATGAATGAATGTCTAAGGTGTACAGTAAAATTGAGTCCCAGGTGGCTATGGTCAACAAAGATGTAAAATTGTTGCAGCACACCCGAGCCCAAACAACCCTAAATGTATGGAATTGAAATGAAGAGGGTGGAGGTGCATGGTGAGGGGTGGGGAGAAATAACTGTGAGAGCAAATGCTCCCACAGGGAGTCAGCTCCCCCACTGACCCAACAGCCCCCCCCCCCCCCAGCCCCCCAAGGTCCACCCAGGGATTGAGGCCAAGACACCTCTCCATCTGGACCGACCGCCAGGCCCGCTGAGCTCCAGACCAGAGAGGGACAGAGCCCCGAGGGCCGCCAGAAGCTGCACCAGCAGCCTACACACCCGAGGGCCACCAGGACCCCCACAGACCGCAGTCAGCCCGCTACCAGATGGAGCCAAACCCCACCAGGACGACCCGGCCAAGAGCGCCCGCCCAACCGCCGACAGTGCCAGGAAGCACCGGGAGCGCGCCCCCACCACAGGAAAGGGGCCAGCCAGCCGGCCATGCACAGTCCCGGGCCGCCCCCAAGGACATCCACCCCATCCCCACCCCAGAAGAAATACTACACCCACCCCTCATTCGGACATCTCTCAAAACACATAGCACATTAGACACCTAGGCTGGGTCAAACTACCCCCTCCTAGGGGCCACTGGTCACGCCCCCAAACACCCAACCCCCAGCCCATGACCCACAACCCACCAGCGAGCCGAAGGCCCCCGCCCAGAACCGGGCACCAGAGCGCAAGCCGGCCCAGAGCCCGGCAACCCGCCCGCCAGAGCCCAAGATCCCCGAACCCCACAGGCCCAAGCCCGGGGGCGACAAGCCCCCAGAACCCCAAGCCCCCGTGCCGATATTTCCGATACATGTATGTCTGTGGTTGCGCTGTACGTTGGCTTCAAACTATGGAATGGATTTCCTGAACGGAGGCGTGTCTCATGAATCCAGAGTAATAAGACCCGCCTCACATTTAGGAAATCCAATTCATAGTTAGCATCCAATTACAAAGTGAGGACTGAGTTAGCAGCACTGTGGCTAACGCCTAACAAACTTTTCATCTAAACATGTCTGCTGTGTGGAAATATTTTACACTAGAAACACCACAAAACAAGACAACAACGTGCAATGACTGCAGAGTAGAGGATGACACAGGAGTGGATTTTCATTCCTGTCCTGGTCCCACAGAAAAAAATCCTGTCCTGTCCCAATCCTGGTCCAGAGTAAAAAAAATAATCCTGTCCTGTCCCACTCCTGGTAGCATGACTCCTGCTCCTGTTCTGAATCACTCCCACTCCTGTCCTTCTCCTGTTTTTTTTTTTTTTTTATCTTAATTTAATTTTTAGGAAATACATTGAATTTGATTTAATCTTCTACCCATTCCTGTTTAAATTACATTGTGTTGTGCAGTTTTATTTCAAAAGATATGGCAACAGGAACAGTTCGTCTGTGGTGAAATAGAGACGTTTATTGCCTTAATCCGAACAAAAACCTTCATTAAATATCATAAAACAAATAATACATGGCCTGTAGTCCATATCATTTTTCTATGGAGGATCAGCTGCTGAGTCTCTGTTTCTAGCTGTTTTGAAGGTCAGTTACAGTAAAAACAAAAAATCTAAACCAGTACATGGGTCACACCATGTCTACTTTAGATGAAAGAACCCAAACATAACAAGTTGCTTTTTACTAATTTATTGAGCAATTGTTTCCTTTAAACAGTGACATTACTGTCATGTTTTAAATTGTTTAAACAAACAAACAAAATCAAAAAAAGAAAAATTATGTACCAAGCAAGAGAACAAATAAAAATGTTTAAAGGCATTATTATACATTGGACGACATTCTCAAGAAGTTCAGTCTATGTGGTTGAGGTAACGAGCTTGTTTGGGTGAAGCATGATGTCGTGCATCTTACCAGACTTCAGAGCATCATTTACAGGCTGGACCATTGCAGGTCTGGTGTTCCACCTCATCTCTCCACAGCTGGACCAGTCCAGAGCCTTGTGTAACCTAAAAGTGAAAGAAGACAGTGCACAAGTCAAAATAGGGTTACAGTGACTACAAATTACAATTTGTTGGCCTTTCTTTTGGAAAAAATATTTAATCAAAAACAAAAGTTTTACAATTGAAACTGTTAAAAAAAAGTGACCTTTGCAATTATAAATTATAGAAGCTCAATTTTTCTTTATTTTACTTATCATATTTTATAATTACTTAAACAGCCTCACCAGGCAGAGATTACAAGATTTTATGTATCTTACCTGCTCTTTTGAAGTGTGTGACAAGGGTCTTTGTGTCCAAAGCTGTTTAACAGCTTGCTTCCAGAGCTAACAGCTTCCTGTGTTAGGTAGAAAAATAAAATTAAAGACAAACAAAAAGCTTAGTGCTACTTCTTGTTGTGCCATGCTTTCTAAAACAGTTATTGAATCAAGTATTTACTTATGTAGGTAAACATAGATTTTTTTAAAACGTGTTAAAATACACCAGAATGCAGGAAATAGCAGCTACTTTATTCAAAAAGTTATGGGGGAGGACCCACAGACCTCGCACCAATATGTCCCCCCTACAATAATTCTAATGCTAATACACACTGCGTGGTTCAAGCCAAGAGCCAATGTCAACACTGGGGGGCTAAGGCCCCTAAAATTGGCTTCTAGAATCGCCCCTGGTGTGAAAAAAATGAACTGAGAAAAATCAACTCTTGGCCTAAAATTTAACACAACAACATACACATCATACAGTATCTTAAATCTAAAACAGCTACATTATAAAGTGATGTAAATAACTAAAAACAGGAACGTCTGTTGGTTTATGCCATGAACTTAGCAGATGTTTAAAGCCATTAATATTTTATTTAATTCATTTATTCATTCATTTAAAAGAAACAAAACAAATTCATCAAAAGAAAATGTTGAATGAAAAGAGTGCAGAAAGAAGAAAAAACTTATATCTGCCCTTTATTTAAAAAATATAAAATAACTTTAAACAATCACTTAAATTTATCACTTTAATATCCACTTTAAAGCTAGGAATAAAAAGAAACATGTTTTGTGTTAGCAGAATTTAATTCTAACTTTAAAACTTATCCAACATCAATAAAACTTACCTCAAGTTGCCTTTTTGGACATGCATACATATATTTGTACAAATTGTACTTGAGAGGAGATTATTACAGCCTCATATAAAATTGATGATGATGATGATGATATCGGAACTGGATCGGTATCGGTCGATATTCAGATTTAGGTATCGGGATTGGAGGTAAAAAATGTGGATCGGTGCATCCCTAGATACTAACTACCAACATTGTAAGAGGGAGACAGTTGAACCCGGAGGCCTCCACCCCTGTTTATTGATGGATGGTTTATTTTACAAAGATGGCCTCCTCTACTCCTCTCTCAAGACATCGTTCCTCTCTATCCAGGATGTGAACATCTTCATCCCTGAAAGAGTGACCGCTGGCCTGGAGATGAGTGTAGACCACCGAGTTCTGGCCTGATGATGTTGATCTTCTGTGCTGGGCCATCCTCTTTGGCCAGTGGCTGTTTAGTTTCCTTGATGTAAGACTGATCACAGCCCTCCTGACACTGAACAACATACACAACATTACTCTGTTTGTGCCGGGGGACTGGATCTTTGGGATGAACCAGTCTTTGTCGTAATGTATTTTGGGGTTTAAAAGCCACTGGGACGTTATGTTTAGAAAATAAACGTCTCGGTTTCTCTGATATTCCCTCAACATACGGAATGACCACTGGTCTGGGTCTGGGTTCCTCCTTTTCACCTGATGGCTGACTGGAGTCCTGTATGGGTTTCTTCTCTGCTTTTAGGAAGGCCCAGTTAGGAGTCGTCAGGATTCTATACCATAGAGCAGACAGCGTCCCCACTAACTGAGGAGACAGGCAGAAGGAGAAATCCCACACATGTTCAAATTACTTTCCTTTCACAAGTCAGCAGATTTGATCTTATTTACCTCATTGAGGATGATCCGGGTCAGCAACTGGTAGAGCTGCTGCCTCTCAGCAAAAGGTTGCCATTTCAAAACCCGGTTCAGGAGCCTTTCTGGGTGGAGTTTGCATGTTCTCTTCAGTCAGCACCTCAGAGTGAAGAAGTCTTTCGGATGAAAGACGAAACGTTTCTACTTTTTTTGTCTGTTGTTTTTTGAATGTCCAGAGGACCAGACTGAACTTTTTTAGATGTGCCTACTTTTATTGTTAATTTTAGATGTGTGGTTTTCTTTCTTGTTCACATATATACATTTTATTTTTAGCTTTGCTTTAAAGTTCTTGTTTTGTGATTTGTACATTTGTGGGTTAAAATAAAGTTGAACTAAAGGCTGTCTCTCTTCTTTAAACATGTTTGTTAGAAATATTCCTGAGAGATCCAATAATTTTGTGTCTTTTTATGATTTTCAGCTGAGTTAACAGTCATTAAAGTGAAAACAGAATTTAATGATTAAGCCGACACTGTTTATTTTATTATTTTTTAAATCTTCAACGCTTAAAAAAGTCTTTTTTTTTTTCAGCAGAGCTGGTCTCACATGATCCTCTCCCCCGGAGCCAGGATGGGCGGGCATCATCTTCCCAGCTCCGAGCTCAGCTGGTGACTCGCAGAAGGCGGTAATCATGAATCATGAAGGACGAACCCCGACCCACGCAGACAGGCGGACCGAGACATGTCTGGGACCGACGGTGGAAGCGGTTTTTAAAAACATTTTATGTATAAAAACAAAATATTAGTTTATTTAAAAATCGCTTCCACTGTCCGTCCCAGACCGTCCAGTCCAACTGACTGCCGGGCGGGATTGGGATTCAGCCTTCATGATTACGCAACGGCCTTCTGCGAGTCACCAGCTCCAGCTTTGCGGTGACCCGTGGAGCTCTGAGCACGCAGGGCCAGGATCCGGAACCCGAGCCCCCGAGTCGGCACAACGGAGGATCTTCCACGTTGACCAGCGGAACTCGGAGCCAGGGAGATGACGCCCTGCCCGGCCTGGCGCTCCGAGCCTCCAATGGAGGACCGGGGTAGACCAGCAGAGCTCCATCCAGCTCGCTCTGAATTTTGTCGTCGGCCACCAAGCACAAAAAATGCCAGCACATCAACATTAGACCAAGATGTTGTCATTATTGTTTTTAAAATCTTTAAAATAAGTCCAGCCGCTGCTTCAGTCTGAGAAATTGCAAATGGCAGATCATTGTTTTGAAAAGTTTCTGAAGGATCCAGTGACTCCGCCCCCAACCAATCAGTGACTGACAGTGTTCTGACATCATGTTTTAGTACCTACTTGTTCGGGTTAGAACCACAGAGCCAAGGGTCCTGAAAATAGGAACAGGTTCTACGTACCGGCGTAGATATCATATAAAAGCTAGATACAGCATTGACCGCTATCGACTATTGGCTCTGACGAGCCGTAGGGCCGCCATCTTGGAACGGTCGACCGCTCCACTCGGTGTAACCTGTTTGACAGGAGCAATGAAGTATCTGCGCGTTTAATCAGTCATAGCTGAATACTAAACTCATTCTCACAATTTTTCCCTCTGTAAATCTAAGATGTACAGACATAAAGCTGAACACATGGTTCAGTGTTTTTAAATATTCTTGGTGGGATTAACATCAGGTCTCTCTTGTAAATGAGTCCTCGAGGCTCAATGGGATTTACCTGTCTAAATAAAGGTTGAATGAATTAACACAAATAAAATATTATTATGACAAGTTTTACAAAACTCACAGTCACTGATACATTTTTATTAATATCTATTTTATATATATATATAATATAGGTATATATACACACACATACATATATATATATTATATATATACACACACACATTAGTTATATCACTGTCATATATACATATATACAGTTTAATAATTTTCTTATATACACATATCACAATCTTAGCTATATATATCTATTATATATATATCGTATGTATATATGTGTGTGTGTGTGTATATATATATATATACATACATACACACACACACATCTATTTTATATATAACCACATATTGCCATCATATATATAAACACACATAATTTCATTATCATATATTACATACATCATACATTATCCGGGGGAGTGGTGGCGCAGAGGTTAGAGAGGTGGGCCTGTGATCCGAAGATCGCCGGTTCACGCCCCGACAACATCAAAATTGTGGGTGGGGTAGGTGAAACACCCACACTTGCCCCCACCCTCATTCGCCCCACTCTGGGCCCATGAGCAAGGCCCTTAACCCTCACCATGTGCTCCCTAAACAGGTCTCTCTTGAAAATGAGTTCTCGTGGCTCAATGAGACTAACCTGGATAAATAAAGGCTAAATAAAAAAAAATAAAAAAAAATATATATATATATATACATATATCTCTATCATTTTTACTGTAGTTTATTATTGTCATTGTTTACTGTTATTCTTGTCTGTACTTTATATGTTCTGTCTGGAGCAGGTCTCTTTTGTAACCTCATGTTCAACCAGCCGGTCGAAGCAGATGACCGCTTGTCCTGAGCCTGGTTCTGCTGGAGGTCTCTTCTTTTTAAAAGGGAGTTTTTTTTCTTTCCACTGTTGCCACTGTGCTTGCTCAGGATGGGAGACTGCAACGAAGCCAAGATTCAACTTGTCTGCTGGATTCCTTAGATAGAGAACTTTACTATTTGGCTTTTATGTGAATGTTCCTGTAAAGTGCCCTGAGACAACTTTGTTGTGATTTGGCGCTATCTAAATAAACTGAATTGAATTTAATTGAATGAAATGAGTCCTTGTGGCTCATTGAATCCAACCTGTATAAATAAATGGTTGAATAAATCATTATGCGAGTATATATATATATATTTAACAAAGAGTGATGACAACAGTGGATAACAAATAAACTGTTTTGCAATCAGAAAACAAACGAACAATTTAATAAAAACTTAAATTTGTATGAATCATTTGTGATTATGTATTGTTGTCTTATGTGCTGCCTGCTCTGTTCCAATCTCTCCACAGACGATGTGTGTGAGGGTGGACATGTTTGGAGGTTGCTGTGTTGAAGCTCCATGGATCAGCCTCTCTGCAGCTCTCAGCACCTTCACTGAGCCTTGAGAGAATCACTGAGCTGCTGTTGTTCTTCACAGTTAGAAGGTGGGAGCTCTCGTCAAATGATCTCCAGCATCATCTTGTTCATGCCAGGCTTTTCATCCACTGACCACAGCCACCTGGAAACATCAGGGGGACCAGTAGCTGTTTAACACATCTGGAAGGAAACCAGTGAGATTTTAATATGACCATGACCATTATGATATGATGTTATGAGGGGGAGTGGTGGCGCAGAGGTTAGAAGATGGGCCTGTGATCGGAAAGTCGCAGGTTCAACTCCCAGTACCATCAGCATCAAAATGTGGGTGGAAAAGGTGAAACACCCACACCTGCCTCCACCCTCATTGGCCCCACTCTGGGCCCCTGAGCAAGGCACTCAACCCCCACCATCTGCTCCTAAACGGGTCTCTCTAGAAAATGAGTTCTCGTGACTCAATGAGACTACCTGGATAAATAAAGGCTAAATGAAAAAATAAAAGTTTAAAATAGAAATACATCATGAGGCCGAGGTTGTGTGTGTGACATGCACGTTCCTGAGAGAGTGTGTGTGACGTGCACGTTCCAGAGGCCACAGACAGAGCAGCTCCAGCTTTTGTTGAGTTCCTGTAGTCCTGCAGTTTTCAAGCTGAAATGAAAAAGCATCATGAATATGAACTTTACAGTCTATAGTTACCTGTTCATATAAACACATGGAGGTGTCTCACCTTGTGACTGACAATAAAATATGTAAATTTATGAACTCTAATGAACTTATAATGATGCTCCTACTCTTTGAAGGTGAACCGATGGTACCACACTATCTCTCAGTCAGTCAGTCTGATCAGTTTGATCAAAAACCTCCATTTTAAAATCCTCACTGCTCAGATGAATCCTCCTCAAAGATACTTCCTCACATCTTGTTCTTTGGGAAACCTTCACAATGAAAACAGGAGATTTGTGTCTACACAAAAACATTGTACAAAGGAGGTCAATCTTATTTTCTAACTACTTACCTATTTTTATTTTTTTTATATTCTAGAACTTAAACAAAACTCCAGTTTTGATGCATATCTGTTGATAATGAACCAAACCTACTGAAAATGTAAGTATAATTGTTAGAAAAATATTCCTGTCATCAGATCTCAGTCAGCTTCATTGCAGCTGAACACCGGTGTTACACTGAACATCACATCAGCTGGTGGACATAAATACAGTACAGTAATATTATATTCACAAAATACTAACAATAATATGTTCATCTTACTGTGAAAAGTTATCCCCCGAGACCTGACGTCAACAGTCCGTCGATTAGAACAGAAATAAGCTGCGAAGTGCTGAGACATCTTGTTTTAACCAAATAAGGACGACTGCTCCAAGATGGCGGCCGAAATTCATGCGCCACAGCAGCCAATGAGGGATCTAGCTTTTATATATCTATGCGTACGGTACTAATGGAAAATCTGAGGCCTCCTCCTCTGTTTAGAGATGGTTTCTCTCTTTTTACATAAATTGCTTCCTTCATCCCCCTCTCAGACCATCTGTATTCTTTTTTCTTTTTTTTTTGGGGGGGGGGGTCATCATCTATTAAGGATTAACTTTTTGAATGGAATTATGGAAGTTAAACAACTTTTCCATGATATTCAAATTTTTTGGAAAGGGTCTGTATTTGGAAAACAAACAGGCACCAAAGACAACATTTGTAACTTTATGTGATGATTAAAAAATGTTTAGGTTATAGGTAAGAACTAAACCATCATATGTATTGCTTTGAGTGTTTACAACTACTAACGTTTGTAACACTATTGCTGTGGTGATAAATATAAAAATATTCCTATTTACCATTTAAACTGGGCCTGTAATAACCAGATCCTGAAATGTAGATGTGACATGTGGATTTTCTGAATAAAGAGCACTAACGTTCACATTTAACTGATTTTTATTAATCACATTGATGAAAATATAAACACCAATATATCTTTACAGGGGGTGGGGGGTATTGAACGTATGGTGTCTGTGTGTGAGCAAAAGTGTATGTAAGCAAAAGTGGCGCTCCCTCTTCAGCATGTTTCTTTTTGTTGCTAATTTCAGCTGTTTTCAGATCATTTCCTGTTTTTGTGGTAATTTCTTACTACTTTCAGCCTAATTCAGCAAACCTGTTCTCTTTCTACTTCCTTCTGCTATTTTAAATGTTTTTCTGCTTTCAGTGTTTTTTCAGCTTCTTTCTTTATTTATTTATTTTTTTGTTGTTGCTAATTTTATGTGTTTCAGCTAATTTCCCCATTTTTGTGGTGCCCTTCTTTATCTTTTTGCCCTTCTTGCTCTTGCTTTTGCCCTTATTCTTTAAGGCCTTGCGGACGCTGTAGCCTCTCCACCAGGCCTGAATGGTAACGACAGCTTTGCTCTTTAACTCCAACGCCCTGATCTCCTCTTTCCTCTTTTCTTCTGCCAGCTGCCGCTTCTCCTGGATCTGGTTGTACTGCACCTCCAGGGCAGAAAATGGTCCCTGCAGCTTCGTCATCTCCTCCTGAATACTTTCCTTTTCAAGAGCCTCCAGCTGAGCCTGGGACGAGTGAAGAGAAAAGAAAACGGGAAAGAAATAAAGATGAACACTGTCATTTCAACTTCTGTAAAATATTACAATCTCTCAAACTGCAGCTCCTGTTGTAGTAAAATGCAACAGACCCCTGACCAACATGGAGAATCTGCTACACTGCTATTGCCCGTTGCACTTCTGTGTTTTCTAGTCTAAAAGAGATTTTTCTACCTGGATTACTGAGCATGCATCAGGATGTGTTTTCTAGCTTTTGTTCTGACCACAAATGTATAGAGCATATAACCTTTTTTTATATTTATATTAACTATTATGAAGATAAAAAACTTAATGACTCCTCATTTTGAGATGAAGTAGTCACATTGAGCCAACACTATTCTGTTTATAAATTATACATGTTTTCAGTGACCCATAAATTAAGAAGCTAAAGACGGATTGACGGATGGATGGATGGATTGATGGATTGATTGATTGATTGATTGATTGATTGATTTATTTAGTTTGTACCTGGAGTTTTTCCATGTTCTTGTCAAACGTTTGAAGCAAGGTTTGAGTCTTGATCTCCAAGTTTTCATTTTTCTGTCAAAGAGGGAAAATGTGAGAAACACAAACAAAACTGATAACATGAAAACATGGAACTTAAAAAATGTGACAATTTTTTAATAATATTATAAAACATTATTGTCATACAAAATTGTACAGTGTACCTTGCAAAACTGAACACAATTTCATTTCATGTTAATCTTACTTCTTGGAGAATCCTCTGTTTCTGATGGTTTTCAAGCATCAAATTGTTTAGGTGAGATTTCAGCTGATTTATTTCTGTGTTTAAAGTGGCCAGCTTTGAGCTTGATGACAACTCATTGAGCTCATCTTGCTTTTCTTGGAGTGGAGACGTTTCCTTTTCTTGGAGTAGAGACGTTTCCTTTTCTTGGAGTAGAGACGTTTCCTTTTCTTGGAGTGGAGACGTTTCCTTTTCTTGGAGTGGAGACGTTTCCTTTTCTTGGAGTGGAGACGTTTCAATTTCTTGGAGTGGAGACGTTTCCTTTTCTTCTTTAATAGGGCTACTTAAATCTTTCTTAAAACTTTCAATCTCGTTGCTTTTTCTTAAAATCTGCAGAAATAAAAGAAAAATGTGCCAGATGAGAGTGAGTTTACATGGGATGAAGCCCTTGAGGCAGGTTGCAGATTAGTTTCTTACCTCTTCCTCCAGTTGCTCCAGGTCTTCCTCTAGTTGCTTTGTGATTTCATGAACTTCTTGGTTCTGTGACATCATGAGGTCCAGACTTTCAGAGGATGAAAATGTTTGGTTTTGGAGTATTTCATGTGGATTTTCATTATGAGCAGAAAGCAAACTTTCTACCATATGGCTGTGAAAAAGCTCAAGTGTTCTGATTAACTCCTTCTCCCCTACTTCCAGGGGAAGTTCTGCTCTAAGGTCTGAAAGCACATGCGGATGGTTTCTGAAGTACCTGAGCACATCTCTGACTGAGCTCTTTATGTCTATTTTGAGCTGAATTGTTTTTCTATCCTCTTCTGTTGTTTGTTTCTTTTTGTGGCCTTCCAGCTTCTCCAACTTTTCTTCTAAAAACTGGTGTGCTTGAAGAATCCTGTTCAAGTCCTGGTCCACAACATCAGACTTGCTGTAAAACTGGAGGATGGCGGGCAGACACAGAGCAATTTTTACTTGACCGATGCAGTTTTCCAAAACCCTGGAAATACGTTCAGCCTCAGGAGAGAGCTCCTCCTTTAGTGAGAAATGTGTATCTTCTGACTGCATGTTTCCTTTATTTCCTCTGAGATATCCTGTGAAACGAACAAGAAGGTTATATGTCTGTCTGTCTATAGATAATGCCTGTATTAAATAATTATTAGTCTAAATATCTTCTAGAAATATATAGAAAAAAACTTTTGTTCATTCCACATTTTTACCTGTTTCTCAAAATTATAAACCACCGTGGTGTCAAAACAACAACAAAAGCAGTGGTGGGATGTAAGGAAGTACAAGTACTTCGTTACTGTACTTAAGTACATTTTTCATGTATCTATACTTTACATAAGTAAAGTTAAACATGGTTTTGCTTTGCGTTAAAAACTTTCAAAGGTATAATCATTCTTCTTTCTTCTAAAAACGTTAAGTCAGGTCCTCTGGACGTTCAAAAAACAAAAAAATGTAGAAATGTTTTGTCTTTCATCCGAAAGACTTCTTCAGAATCAGAATAAACTTTATTGGAATTGCACCAAGGTACAATGCGAATATGTACGTACAGTCGTCCGAAAGATGGGCGGAGTGCACGAAGCTGCATCTACAGGAGAGGACGGCCATTTTATCCTTATCAGATAATAATCTTAGATAGGAAAAGGGGGAGAAACATGAGGGTAGATAGTGGTATATCAAAAAAAGATCTTTCACATCTTGTCTATCAGGACACGATTTGAGACATCAAAAAACTCTACCAGCAGCACAATTAAAACATGATTACATTTGCATTTGACATCGAGGTGTTGAGATTTGTCCATGAGCGCTTTTTCAGATCAGCCACAGATTCTGAATATGTTGATCCAGTTCTGATAAGCCTGCACAGAAAGTTCTCGGGGTGGGGTGGGGGGTGCGATAGATGAAGCTTTTGTCCTTGGGTACTCATGTCCCAGGAGAAATTTGATAGTCAGCCTGTCTCCGAGGCCGTTGGGAGTCTTCAGTCTGAAGAAGTCTTTCGGATGAAAACAAAACATTTCTACATTTTTTTGTTTTTGTTTTTTGAACATCCAGAGGACCTGACTAACATTTTTAGATTTTTCTACCTGGATTATTGAGCATGTATCAGGATATTCCACTTTCTTATTTTGCTTAATGACATTTAACTCTGCAGGTCATCCCTGAAATTCTCAAGCACAGAATCACAAGTCCAAGTGTGAACTGTGTCACAGAGGAAACAATAAAAACACGTATTATCTGCAGCATTGTTCATTAAAATGACTCAATGCTATTAATGTATTACAGAAAATATACACACGGTAGGCACACTTAATGATATCATAGACCATATGTGTCAAATTCAAGGCCTGGGGGCCAAATGTGGCCCTCGTTGACATCTTATCTGGCCCCCAAGCTGATATGAGAAACGTAAAATACTTCTATCTCTTGAATTTTTTTCAGTAATCTTTGATTATGATGTTGAAAGCACAACAGAGAACATCAAATGAGACCAGTCAAACTCTTGTTGAGGAACCTGCAACCAAGAAAAGATGTTTGGTATCTAACTTGAGTTAATGTAGATTCTGAAACCGGCCCTTAGTTTGAAAAAGGTTTTAATTTTGGCCCCCTTTTCTAGTGACTTTGACACCCTTATTGTAGACCATTGCATTAGGTAATACATTCAGCAAGTACTTTATTTACTCTTAATACTTTAAGTATTTTTAAACACAAGTACTTATTTACTTTTACTTATGTAAAAACGTTATTTCTGCTTTTACTAAAGTACATTTTTGTCTGGTTATTTGTACTTTTATTTAAGTACAGTGTTTCAGTACTTTCTCCACCACTGAACAAAAGAAACTAAACTAAACAACAAAAAGGTGTAAAAATAAAAAAAGCCACATATTAAGAATATTTGTTAGCTTAGTTTTAGGAAAGTACAGCTGAGGTGAGGTTGGTCTATCACGTTTCATAAAATTTCCTGATGCATGCTCAATAATCCAGGTAGAAAAATCCAAAAAAGTTAAATCTGGTCCTCTGGACATTCCAAAAAAAACAAAAAAAAAACAAAGCAAAACAACAACAACAAAAAAAATGTAGAAACGTTTCGTCTCTCGTCCGAGAGACTTCTTCATTCTGAGGTGCTGTATTCAGCTCAGTCTCTTAAATAGCACCTTCTCAGAGTGGATCAACCAGTTTGCTGCTGACAACCAAAACCAGCTGATCACATGCTCAAGAAGGACCATCAGCCTAACAATGGATCATTAGCACACTGATGGCTGTTTACTACTCACAGAGGGCTGAGTGATACTAGCAATCACAGCATTGTAAGAGGGGGACAGTTGAACATGGAGGCCTCCACCCCTGTTTAATGATGGACGATTTCTTTTCACAAAGATGGCCTCCTTTACTCCTCTCTCAAACCATCGTTCCTCTCTGTCCAGGATGTGAACATCTTCATCCTTGAAAGAGTGACCGCTGGCCTGGAGATGAGTGTAGACCGCAGAATCCTGGCCTGATGATGTTGATCTTCTGTGCTGGGCCATCCTTTTGGCCAGTGGCTGTTTAGTTTCCCTGATGTAAGACTGATCACCCTCCTGACACTGAACAGCATACACAATATTATTCTTTGTGCCGGGGGACTGGATCTTTGGGATGAACCAGTCTTTGCCGTAATGTATTTTGGGGTTTAAAAGCCACTGGGACGTTATGTTTAGAAAATAAATGTCTCAGTTTCTCTGATAGTCCCTCAACATACGGAATGACCACTGGTCTGGGTCTGGGTTCCTCCTTTTCACCTGATGGCTGACTGGTGTATCACTCAGCCCTCTGTGAATAGTAAACAGCCATCAGTGTGCTAATGATCCATTGTTAGGCTGATGGTCCTTCTTGAGCATGTGATCAGCTGGTTTTGGTTGTCAGCAGCAAACTGTTTGATCCACGCTGAGAAGGTGCTATTTAAGAGACTGAGCTGAAAACAGCAGCTCAGACTGAGGAAGTCTCTTGGATGAGAGACGAAACGTTTCTATATTCTTTTGCTTTGTTTTTTTTTTTGAATGTCCAGAGGACCAGATTGAACTTTTTTGGGCACGTTTCATAAAAATTCTATTTCAGTCTCTCAAACTTACCAGCTCTTGCAAGAATGATTGATTTTTGCACTAACATTTGAGTTTGTAATTGTTTTTGAAAGGAAAGCTGATCAGAACACTTCCAGATTAGGACGCCATTTTGGAAAACAACAGTTCACCTTTTTTTACAAGTTACAAATTTAATAAATTAAAAAACAGGTTTGCGTACTTCTGATTTCTATTAGGATTTAAGCTAAAAGCCCTACCTCTTACTTCGGTTGAAACGCTTGTTGACGTTGTTGCTATGGTACCATAAGACGGAACTCATGGTGTCATAGCAACTAGAGCACTCTTTCAAACTACTAGTACACAGTTGCTCATACATCAATATTTAGAGACAGTAACCTTAATAACACATGTGTGTGTCCACAAAAAGAAATAATAATTTTGTAAATTGAGCAACATGGTTAATTTTAAATGAACGGACCCGGTTATATATGCAGTATATATTTATTTTGAAAATCATCCAGACTCGTGTTTTGCTTGGAATCTCCTCCCAGAATCCAAGATGGCTGCTGTTCATCAAAAGAGTAGGTTAACAATTGTTACTTTTACTTTTAATAGGACTTACGTATTATTTATTTCATATTTAGAAGTGATGAGCAAATGAAGCTTTTATGAAGTACCGAACCACCAGGACAAATGTTTCAAAATTTGGTTCATCTTTTGAAGCTTCCGTTATAACGACCTCTCCTGGCCACCTGCGATGCTGCAGTTAAATCACTCAATCCGATTTTATTGCGCACACCCTTATGAAGAGTGTTCAAGAAGCTACTTTACTCTGGTAGAAAAGACAGTGTACGTTATGTAGCAACTTACAATGATCTGACTTGGACTATTTGGTTTTAAAATGTGATGTTTACACATTCAATTTTCAAATAAAGATTGAATGTGCATTGCTGTGCAAATTGGCATGGTATTGGTGTGCTTGTGTTACTATGACAGAGTCAGGGTCTTTATCTTTGTTAGAAATAACAATGAAATGACAACGAGAAATCCAGAGTCCCTGTAGAAAACAATGCAAAGATCGGGAACTATCAAAGATTTATTGAGGAACATCAGTTTTTCGACAGTTTTAGGACTTAGCTGTTTTTTTATTTTGCTCACCACCTCTCCACACTTGAAAAATACTCGCTCACAAGGGACAGAAGATGCTGGCGTGCATAAAAAAAAGTTTCACCAGTGTGAACAGATGTGGGTACACATGTTGATGGTTCAGACAGTACACCAGTGGGTGTTCTGATCCGTCTAGCAGTGAATCTGTCATGTCATAATAAAATTTGAGTCCATGCAGCCTTATGACTACAAAAATCATATGCACCATTTTACTGTACGTAATGCTATTGGGGTGTCGGGTTCAAACCATGGGCCAGTTTCAATGAATACATAAACTCAAGTCAAAAACCTGATGTTCTTTCTTGATTGCAGGTTCCTCAACAAGAGTTTGATTGGTCTCATTTGACGTTCACTGTTCTCCTTGTTCACATCAAAATTAAAGATTACTGAAAATTTCAGTCTTTTGGGCTTCAAGGTTGGCCAGCTGTCAAGAGAAGTCTGCACTAAATGAAGTAGTTCTATTTCGTATAAGCTTCGCCCTTCAAGGCTGTCGCTGATGGGTTTATCCCGATATGCAAAGCATTGCACTGAAAAATTTAGTCCACGCCCACCTGCTGTGTGGGCCCCACCCGGTCCGTATAAATTACGTTAAGAGCGGGAAATCGGCTCCCATTTTTCTTCAGCAAGCTAATAGCACTGTCAGAAGAACGAAGAAGGAAAGTTGTGTAGATGACCAACCTTTGTTAAGAATGCTTGGCCCGGCACGTCAACCTCCGGTCGTCCGGTGAGCTCTCCTCCCCGAGGAGAAGCTGACAAGCAGTCTTGTTTCAAGGTAAGCGCAGAGGAATATTTCTCAGTGACAGGTCGCTACACGCTGGACAACGCCATCTTGTAATTTTC